GGCCAGGCCGCGGGCAGGTGCAACCTGCCGCCCAAAACCAAACACGCGCTCGCCTTCAGGGACGGTGGGTGTGCGGGGAGTGGGGGAGGACGGGGGCGACAACAGAGATCGAGCGTGCGGTGGGGGGGAGGGTCAAAACAAAACTCTTGGTGGGAAAAAAACAAATAAAGGGAACAAAATAATATTTAGCAGGCCCACAGTCAGCCTGGCCGCTTGCTGGGACGCTTCAGCGCTCGCTGGCAGTGGAGCAACAGCAGGAGAGGCCCGAACCCAGGGAGGATCTGGGTACTCTGACCCCTTCCCCAGCGTGGGCACGGGGCCCCGGGGTTAACCACGCAGGTCACGGCCCCGACAGACGCAAACACTTCACCGCCCTCCCCGCAGCAGCGGGCCGAGGGGCCGCTCGTAACGCGAGGGCAGCAGCGAGGGCTGCCCCAGCGCAAACTACGAGCCCGGGGTCGTGCAGGGTTGGGGGTCCTGCGTGACGGCAGTGACCGCTTATGGAGGGTGTCTGCAAAGCTGGGCGGCAGTCCATGCGACAGGCCTCTTCAGGTCAGGCACCCTAGTTCCTTCCCCGTGCCTAGGACCAGGGGCCCAGCCCCTGCCCGGGGGGGGACTTTCAGCCTGGCTGGACTCTAAAGCAAGCAGCTTTTTATAGAAAGCAGTTTCTTCCCATAAAGGCTAGCGAAGGCTCTCTGGACAACGTACAAGCACATACAGCAAGATGGTGGGCTTTCTGGAAATTTCAGGAGGAAAAACAAGAGGTTTTGAGCACGATCTGAGAAACATTTCTTGTTTTTCCAGAGAACGATAGGCTCAGAGGGTGCTGAATTTTACCTCTCTCTCATTTTCGCCCACTAAATCTAATAAAACGTAGCTGGAGTCTCTGGACTGACACCAGTGTGAAGAGAGACTATTATATTTCTTCTCTTTAGCACGAGCCCAAAGCCCCAGCTGGCACTTTCGGCACCAAGCTCATCAGTTCTCTCTCAGAATCCGTCCATTAAGAAAGCGTCTGGTCTTGGTATAAAAGCGTCAAGTGATGAAGAGCCTGCCAGCGCCTGAGAAAAGTTGTTCTAATGACACCTTTCCCACCCTTAAGTCTTATCTCTAATCTGAATTCCTCTCATTTCAGCTTCCCACTACTGGATCACACTGCACACCTCTCCTTAATCACATCAGTAAATCCCCAGCATTATCTACTGAAATAAGCAGCTGATAAAATTGCCACAAAGATATTACAAAGGGCAGAATGATCAAAAGAAGAAACAGTGAACATCCTTAAGACCTACTTGCTGTTAAAACATGAGCCACACTATGAAAAATGTAGTAACCTTGTGGAGTATAGAAAACGCAGCTGAGGAGGAGGGGGGGGAATATATAGTTCAAAATAAATTATCTGTTCAGTGCTTTTTACCTTTACCTGTTTGAGCAAAATGGGTTTTTTTTATTCAAAATTCTTTTTTCAGTAGCTTCCACGTATACTCTGGTCTACTTACATATCAAAGGCATTGTATTTAACATTTTAATTCTAAGCATTTTATAGGGTGGGGAAACAAAGGTGCAGGGATATTTAGGGAATCTGTAGACTTTACGGCCAGAAGAAACAGACCACCATCAATCAGCTAGTCTGAGCTCTTTTATAAGGCAAATCACAGAATTTCAAGGTTCTGTCCAAGGTTATTCAGCAGGTGAAAAGCAATGACTTCCACATACTAGTCTGATACCCTGACACTTAATCATATCTCAGCTGCACCTCCCTTGGTAGTATCTGCTAAATAATTCATCTTCTCTTTTCATGCAGGTTTGCATATACTTTTAACCAGTTATCTTTTTGTCAACTTGTATATTTTTTGCCCTTCATTTAAACCTCCTCTTGAGACTCCTTATCATAAGGCTCAGATTGGAGAGGGTATTTTTTAATTTCCAGAATCCTTTCCCAGGCATTAAGAATTTTGCATCTTTCCAAGTAGCACAGGATTGCAGGTAAACAATTACTGCTCACCGTACTAGGAACGCAAACCAGTTACAAGTGACTTGGCCCCAATCGGCTAGCAGAAGTCATGCTGTCCTTGCACAGAGAGATGGGGCACAGTCATGCACACATCAGACTTGGGGCACTAACCCTTCTCTTTGCTCTCATGGGAGAACCTTGAGGAATTCAAGCAAAACCTCAAGCCCTGTTACCCGATTCAGTAGGATGGTTAAATCACATTGTAGGAAACCAATCACTTCTATTGACTCTGCTTTTCTCCTGCAAAGGAGAAGCATTCTTCAGAGAATGATGAATTTCTTCATCTGCCAGGTAGGGGGAAACAAATTTTCCTCCACAACTCAATGATAAGAGATCCTCTTGCTCTAAGGAGTTATCCTGCACGTCCACCAAGGCATTAGCATTTTCCAGGCTGGAAGGAAGCTGTGCTTCTGAAGCACAGGCTTTAATTAGGAAAGTTTGCCAGTACATACCTAATGAGGACAGAGCTAGTACCAGCAAAACTATGCTATGCCTGAAGTAGTTTAATTCAGTCCCCTGAGCAACACAGCCACAGTAACAACAAGACTTTTTTTTTTTTTATAACCAAATCAACACCATTCCAAACTGGCATTTCATTTTGGAAGTCACACCTAATCAACACAAACAGAACAACAAACATTGCAAACATAAACCTGTCCTCACTCTCTTGGATGTTTTTGAAAAAGCCTTCCAAGCCTTGCTGCACCTTCACAACGACAGAGTGGCAATCCTATCCATCTCCGTTTACAGGTAAACAAAAAGAGAGCAAGAGAGAAGCTGACATTGTGAGATGAGTCTTTTCAGTCACAACTTAGGCACATAGTTGACCAAAGACTGACTTCCAGAAAGCTGAGCAGGAACTTTGAGTACTTTACATGTCAAAAACCAGACTGCTTTTACTTGGAAACTCACGATTAGGTCCCCAGATCAGAAGCTACAAGTCAAATCAGTTTGCACAACATCAGTGGCACAAGCAAGAACTGGGAATCTCACATGGCCCACGAGACTCTTGTACCTTGCATCTGCAAGGATCCACGCTCTCACTGCATCAGAGAGGGCAGGTTCAGCCAGAGCCGCTCATCCCTCAGCATTCGTGCCCCCATTTGCAAAATTAACAACAAAGGCAAGTCTGAGGCTGGAGCAGAAAGGGTTAATGGGGTTATGAAAGGTTTTGCTGGCCTATTTTCCAGGCAGGCACCCTTTAATCTCCTTTGGAAACACCTTTACACAAAGGCTGGTACAGCAGCTCAGCTGGAGCCAGGATTTAACGTGGAATAACTTGTCCTGAAGAGATTAAAAGTGGCAGTCGGGCACCCAACCACTAGTCAAACGGGCAGGAATTTCTAACAAGGGAAAGA